GAAAGCACTCATTGATCTTGATGGTTCTACTTAAATCATTGTCACAACCCACAGGCTGAAATCTATCTATCTATCTATCTATCTATCTATCTATCTATCTATCTATCTATCTATCTATCTACTCTATTCCTTTTCAGTGACATCATAACTCAAAATCTGAACGAATTGTCGTCAAATTTGACCACAAGATGCCTACTAACCCAAGGAGTGACCATCACTAAAAAAATGATTTTGTCATTTGAGAGTTGTAGTTACTGGGATTTGTAGTTAACCTGCAATCAAAAAGCATTCTAAACTCCACCAATGATGGAATTGAACCAAATTTGGCACACAGAGCTCCCATGACCCACAGGAAATACTGGAAGTGTTTGGTGGACATTGACCTTGCGTTTTGGACTTGTAGTTCACCTACAGCTAGAGAGCACTGTGGACTGAAACAATTGATGGATCCAGACCAAAATTGGCACAAATCTTTAATATGCCCAAATATGAACACAGATGGGGTTTGGGGAAAATAGACCTTGACATTTGGGAGTTGTAGTTACTGGGATTTATAGTTCACCTACAATCAAAGAGCATTCTGACTTTCTGAACCTCACCGACGATAGAACTGGGCCAAACTTTGCACACTGAACCCCCATAACCAACAGAAAATACTGTGTTTTCTGGTGGTCTATTGCGACCCTTATGACACCCTCTTGCAACCCTCAGGTTGAGAAATGCTGCCTTAAGGCCCTCCAGTACAACTCCCTTCACCAGGGCAAGAAAAAAAATAATCAAAGCCCTCCTGACAAACAGCCATCCAGCCATAGATATAGATAGATATATATGATTCACACACACACATATGTATATGACAGATATAGTATCAAAGATTTGAAAGGGACCCCCAAAGAAGGACATTACGTGCTGCAGGTTCCTGAGTAGGCAAACCAGACTATGTCTACATCAACACTGACACTGACAAAGAAACAACAAGAAAGACTGTTTACCCACAAGCATAAAGAAATTACATATATTAGAAACCAACACTTTCTCATTACTTTATTTTCCAGATCACCAGACACAACAATGCATGGCAGGGGATGGCTAGTGTATTTAATAAAAAGCAACCTGGTTGACTTTAAGGAATGAGTAGTTTGCAATTTGGAAACAGCTATGACAGCAATCCACAAATTTTATTCCTCCAAGTGGTTTGGACTGAAACTCCCAGAAGCTTCTGCTGTTAAATGGTGTCAAGCTGAATTAATTCTATAGTGTAGACACACCCTTATTCATTCTGCCATTAAAGTCAGTTTTAGTGCTTTTAGGTGTAATGGTTTTATTTAACAATTTTATGATTAATTGTTCTTTAATGTGTATACATCGTGCATTTTAAATTGTAATCTGTACTATTTTTAGTGTTGTGAGTTGCTTTGAATCTAGTCAGGAGAAGAGTGGGATATAAATAAATGTAGTAGTCATATAGTAGATTCCCAGTTAACTTGTACTCAATCAACCAGCAAACAAACCAAAGAAATAATGTTTTAAATTAAAATTAAAATCAGACCATTTTGACAACACAATAAAATCAGTTTTTATAATACATTAAAATTGTGTTACATTAAGTTTGCCTTTATTTGTGTCAATTTACTTTTAATGTATTTCAATACAGAGTTTATGATATGGTGTATTTTATTTATTTACTTACTTCACTTGTATACCCAGCAGAGGACTCAAAGCAGTTTCCAACATAATTATGGCAAAATTTGATGCCTCACATACAGAAACCTAACATGTCTATTATGGGATATAGTATTAGGCCTATTTTAATAGTAACTCTCAAGCAACCAGACACATTTATCTGGCATCTATCAATCCCCATAGGTGCTGGTTAACTGGTAGTCTACTATAATCATCGTCAATATGATCAGTTTATTTTGGATTAAATCAGAGGTTGGGACAGTGGGCAGCTCCATTGAGTAAACTGGAGTAAAGGTGACTCAAATACTGGTAACTCCTAATCCAAAGTAACTTTGAATTCAGCTGTTTAATTGCTACATGGTTCATGTGTCGTAATCCTTTGCAGGGTCAGGGACAGCTTTGGACCTTTTTAGTATAGTCTGGCAACCACATCTTGGTGGGACTAAAAAGGGAGCCAATTTCCTTAATTAATCGAGGGCTAATTATAACTAACCCTCACCTCCCTTGGTCAGTAATCAGTGATACTGGCAATTAGTCCAAAACAGCTAGAATACTAACATTTTTGAAATAAAATGGTTTATGTAAGCACCTCAAAACCGCAACCTACTAATTAAACTCAAATCTGGTTGCTTTGGATTAATTTGGAAGGAGAAAGAGAGATTTAGGTAGGCCCACTTATTTATGTTCCTTAGAGGATGTTAAAAATACCTACTGAAATATTGGTGAGATTTACTATTTGGGAGGATTCACTGTGTGTTTCCCAAAAGGAAGAGAAAGACAGGCAGAGAGATCTTCAGCCTTCTCTGTCAAAGGGGTTATGAAGTAGCAACAAAAATAATTTTATGGTTGGGGGTCACCATAACATGAGGAACTGTATTAAGGGGTTGTGGCATTAGGAAGGTTGAGAAACACTGGATTAGGCCAAAGCCAGCACTTGAATTCTTCTCAGTAGCAGACTGACAGCCAGTGGAGCTGACCTAACAGAGGGGTTGTAATGCTCTCAGAACGTCGCTCCAATTAGCAGTCTGGCTGCTGCCTGTTGGACCATTTGGAACTTCCGAACAGTCTTCAAAGGCAAACCCACACAGAGCATGTTGCAGTAATCTGTTTGGGATGTAGGTAAAGCTCTTCCCCTGACACGGAGTTCAGTCATGTCCGACTCTGAGGGTTGGTGCTTATCTCCATTTCTAAGCCAAAGAGCCCGCGTTGTCTGTAGACACCTTCTAGGTCATGTGGCCAGCATGACTGCATGGAGTGCGTAACCAGAGCTTTATATATAAACCTCACTTGCCTAGTTTCCAACAAATCTCAGAAGCTCTGAAGATGTCTGCCATTGATGTGGGCAAAACGTCAGGAGGGAATGTTCCTGAAACATGGCCATACAACCCCGAAAACTCACAGCAACCTGTTGCACTCTGGGACAGGAAAAGCCCTTTGACTTTAAACACCACACCGTTGGATAGGGAAACAATCCTTTTATTTAGGATAAAAAGCAGTAAAAACATGAATCCAAGGCATGAATATAAAAACATAGAATCCAAGAATCAAAACAATGAAACAGAGGCACTTGAAACATGAATTTTCCAAGCAAAACTTCCGTGAAACAAGGATGAGATCTTTACTTGATTCCAAATGATGCTTCATCTGACTACATATCCTGTACTTGGGACTTTTATCTCGTTAGCTATGTCTCTAGTGCTCATAAATTGGTTTTGCTTTAGCTAAGAATTTCTTATCTTTTTCTCTTGGAGCCTGGCAGAACGCCGAAGCCACTGTTCGGCTCTCCTGTATTGACTGATCTCCTCCCGTCTATTTGCTCATTAATTTCTGCAGCTGGGCCAGGTGCCAAGCTGTTTTCATGTTCCCTAGCATGTGAAGTCTCTGGTAACAATTCAGAGAGCACGCCATCATCCCCACACCCCTCAGGTACATTCTCATGGGAAACTATACTTTGAACAGGGATCTCCTAGAATCATAGAATTGGAAGAGAACTTATGGGCCATACAGTCCAACCCCCTGCCAAGAAGCAGGAAAAATGCATTCAAAGCATCCCTGACAGATGGCCACCCAGCCTCTGTTTAAAATCTTCCAAAGAAGGAGCTTCCACCACACTCTGGGGTAGAGAGTTCCACTGCTGAACAGCTTTCACAGCTAATGTGAAAGCTGTTTCCTAATGTTCAGATGGAATCTCCTTTCTTGTAGTTTGAAGCCATTGTTCTGCGTCCTAGTCTCCAGGGAATCAGAAAACAAGCTTGCTCCCTCCTTCCTCTCACGTATTTATACATGTCTCCTCTCAGCCTTCTCTTCTGAAGGCTAAACATGCCCAGCTCTTTAAGCCGCTCCTCATAGAGCTTGTTCTCCAGACCCTTGATCATTTTTGTCGCCTTCTTTTGGTCACATTCCAGCTTGTCAATATCTCTCTTCAATTGTGGTGCCCGTGAATGGGGTGCCGGCTTTCCTGGTAATTCTCTGCATCAATATCATTGACCAAACCATTGCCATCTTGAAACCCATCTTGAAACTCATTGACATCACTCCCCACATCCAAAGCACACTGATCCTGAAATATAATCACAGGCTGAGCTCCAACACAATCTATTTAACAGATATTGTCGAAGGCTTTCATGGCCGGAATCACTGGGTTGTTATAGGTTTTTTCGGGCTATATGGCCATGGTCTAGAATCATAGAATCAAAAAGTTGGAAGAGACCTCATGGGCCATCCAGTCCAACCCCCTGCCAAGAAGCAGGAATATTGCATTCAAATCACCCCTGACAGATGGCCATCCAGCCCCTGTTTAAAAGCTTCTAAAGAGGCATTCTAGAGGCATTCTCTCCTGATGTTTCACCTGCATCTATGGCAAGCATCCTCAGAGGTAGTGAGGTCTGTTGGAACTAGGAAAAAGGGTTTATATATCTGTGGAATGACCAGGGCGGGACAAAGGACTCTTGTCTGCTGGAGCTAGGTGTGAATGTTTTAACTGACCACCTTGATTAGCATATAATGGCCTGACAGTGCCTGGAGCCAACTTTAACAGATAGTTTAATACAATTCTGATGGAGCTAGCTTTGCAAGGCATTGCATGGTCAGAGTAGATGGGGCCTTCCCTCGAAGTAACCCATTGGGATCCCTGTGTTGTGGTGGCTGCACTGGTGTAAGAGTCCTAATCCTTTGCAGGGTGGGTCTGCCCTCGAGCATCTCCCTCTATAAAGGCCAACTGGGAGCAAGAAGGGAGCCAATTTCCCTAATTAATCGGGCCATGAAGGAGGCGCCGGCTTTCTCGGGAGGACTATAAAGCCTCGCCGGGGCCAGGCATGGAGGTGAAGCCTTGCACCTTCGGGCTGGGGGCCATGGAGCGCTTCGTCTACCCGCCCTACGGCATCTACCAGGGCTACGGGGTGCCCTTGGCGGCCAGCAGCCACAACGCGGCCCCGAGGTCCCTCCACCCCCAGCCGCCCTCGAAGCAGAACCAGCCCAACTGGAAGCAGAACAAGGGCGGAGGGAGCAGCCACTTCCCGCCGCCCGCGCCCTCGGAGCCGCTGGAGGCTTACAAGCGGGCCCAGCTGAAGGCGCTCCTGAGCCAGGCTAACCCGCGGCCCCGGAGGGCCAACACCAAGGAGGCCGGCGTCCAGGTCAACCCCAGGGTCGACGCCGCCGTCCAGTGCTCGCTGGGCCCGCAACCCCTTTTCTCGCCCCTCTTCGCTTGCCCCGAGGAAGGAGAAGCCAAGACCCAGCGCCAAGGAGAAGGAGGAGAAGAAGCAGCAGCGGAGGAGAAAGAGAAGGAGGAGGAGGAGGAGGAGAAGGAGCAGCCTGGGAAGGGAGACGAGCTCCCAAAGGGGGAGGGAGAGGCCGCCGGGAAGGGCGGGGACGCCGAGGGAAGGAGCAAGACCACCTTCCAGGTGAGCCAGGCTTCCACCCATCCACTCTCCTATCTCCACGTCGTGCTGGGAAAGGGGTGCTTTGGTGAGGCACCAGGACTTCTTTCGAAGCTTTGCTTCCACCAGACCTAACCGGCTGTTAAGAATGGTGGGAGCTGCAGTTCAAAACCCCCAGTGGGAGGGCCGAAGTTTGCCCAAGCCTTGATAGAAGCACCTGCAAACACCTGCTGTACCCTCATCACACCAGAGAATGAATCCTCTTTAAATCCACTTTCTGCCTCCTGCAGAATTCTGAGGTTTGTAGTTTAGTAAGGCTGTTAAAAGCTCTTCCTTAAACTACAAACCTCAGAATTCCGCAGGAGGCAGAAACTGGATTTGAAGTGGATTCATTCTCAGTATTTGGGGTGCTGATTCAGAAAATTGCATTGGATAGACCACATCAGCTCTAGATGATTAAATATGGTTTTCTGTGGGTGAGCAGATGGCGACTACTGAATGTTATGTGTTCTGTACCAGAAACTAGAGCTGATATAGTCTATCCAATGCAGTTTTCTGAATCAGCACCCCAAATAACCAAACTGAAACTAAAATTGATCAAAAACTGATGCTGATTCATAGAATCAAAGACTTGGAAGATACCTCATGGGCCATCCAGTCCAACCCCCTGCCAAGAAGCAGGAATATTCAAAACTCAAAAAAACTCAAAAATTATAACAGCTAAACAACAGAGAGGAAAAAACCAGGCACAGATTAACACCTCCCAGCAACAGATTTTCCCAGACTCAGGCAGGCCTTCAAATGCTAATGAAGGTGATCAGCTAAACATTCACACCTAACTGCAGCAGGGAAGAGCTCCTTGCCCCACCCCAGCCATTCCACAGATATATAAGCCCATTTTTCCTACTTCCAACAGACCTTCTCAACCTCTGAGGATGCTTGCCATAGATGCAGGCGAAACGTCAGGAGAAATGCCTCTAGAACATGGCTCTATAGCCCGAAAAAACCCACAAGAACCTAGCAGGAATATTGCATTCAAATCACCCCTGACAGATGGCCATCCAGTGATCTGTCAGGTATGATTAGTACCTTTCGGTACTAATGTTGAAGAGTGGTCCCTGGTCAAAAACAGGTTGGGATACTCTGTCCTAAAATGTTTCAACACTTCCTGGGGGCTCCTTCAATATTCTGATTTTATAAACAGCACACTTCCTGTAGCCATTGCAGTGCATGATAGGCAGTAGTTTAAAAGAAATTGAAGCAGTTGGTCTGGTCTCCTAATTGAAGATATTAGGGATTGCACCCCGAATCTTCTGCATACACAAGTATGTTCTATCGGAAGTGCTATTTTTTCTTTAAATTGTTGCAGTTGAACATTTGCATTGAATGTGTCCCTCAAAAGAACATCAGCCTTGCCTGAGCATTTATTTTTAAGGCAAACCTGTACATTAGGTCCAGTAGGAAAATATTCTTCAATGAAACTTGGATATAAGACAGACAGAGAATATGTAGCCCTCTAGATATTGGACTTTGGGATTGTTACTAAGGGTGACGAAAACTGCAGCTGCAAAAGTTGCCAATGTTGGGGAATCCAATCTGTTAGGCTCAAAAATATCCCTCAGTGAGGGCAATTCCATCAAAATATAGCAGAGTACCAGGAGCAAACTCCTTAACCAGCAGAAATTTGAATGTGGTGAGAAGGGATACCCTTCTAATCTTTAGCATAGTTTAGGATTACTGCCTAACACACTACTTTCTGTTGCAGTTTCTAGAACAGAAATATGGTTATTTCCATTGCAAAGACTGCAAGAGCAGATGGGAAAGTGCTTATGTGTGGTGCATTTCTGGAACAAATAAGGTATGCTTAGTAAATAAGCTTGGGGGTATGTTTGAATATCCCAAATGGTTGCTATATGATGAAGCTCGAGATGGGCATGGCTTGTTAAATATGGAGGTCTTCCTCAAACCTGCAAAAATGACACTTTTCTCCTTCCTCCCTATGACTTCCTCTCACATATTTATACATGGTTATCATGTCTCCTCTCAGCCTTCTCTTCTTCAGGCTAAACATCCCCAGCTCTTTAGTTGCTTCTTATAGGGCTTGTTCTCCAGACCCTTGATCATTTTAGTCGCCCTCCTGTATGCACAGTTAGCCATGTTGGGACTGTGTGCCAAGTTTGGTCCAGGTCCGTCATTGGTAGGTTCAGAATGCGCTCTGGATGAAAGGTGAACTGCAACTCCTACGCAGGTTGGTCAGTTCTCCAAAATCCTTCATTATGGTCTGTTGGGCATTGGGGGCGGGGGAGGCGGTGTCTATGTGCCAAATTTGATTCAGGTCCATCATTCATGGGGGTCACAGTGGTCTCAGAAGTGAGTGAAGGTACTACAAATCCCATCCTTATTTCGTACATTTGTACCCTGCCCTTCTCACCCCCCGGGGAGGATGATGATGACTCAGGGCAGCTTCACAAGAAGCACTCATTTGAGGGCTAATCACAAACATAAAATACAGTTAAAAGCAATTCATTTAAAATACATTATATTAATAAAAACATTTGTTTAAAATCCCACCAGTCAACCTTGGGCCATCCTGCCCCAAACTGCACCAGGATGTAAAGTAGGTCTGTGTGCCTTTTTTGGTCCAGGTCAGTCATTGGTGGGCATCACAGTGGTCTCAGGAAGTGAGTGAAGATACTGCAAGTCTCATCATCCATCGTCCATCCTCCTCTCAAAGGGTTATGGACGAGGCAGTGGGTGGAGTCATGGAAATTCCACACCAATGGAGAGAGAGAAAGGAACACTGGGCTGGCTTGTATGTTTTCTGTGCTGTATGGCCATGTTCCCAAAGCATTCTCTCCTGATGTTTTGCCTGCATCTATGGCAGGCATTATCAGAGGTTGTGAGGTCAGGAGAGAATGCTTCTGGAACATGGCCACACAGCCCGGAAAACACACAACCCAGTGATTCCAGCTATTGAAGCCTTCAACAGAACATTGGGCTATTTGTGATGGAAGAAACACATGAAATCTAGGATGAAATTGTCCCCATATGAAAGCCTTCATTTGGGTGGTGGGCAGTATGGTGTTTGTGGAGGACATAGGTAGGGCAGCTGGACATGTTCACTGTGCTCACTATAACATGCAATATTATTGGAGGGAGGGCCACTGGTGTCTTTTAAGTAGTGGGAGTTATAGCTGCTTGTGGAGGCAGGAGCTTGTCAGTGTAAGTGGACACCCCTCCCACATACATACATACATACATACATACATACATACATACATACATACATATTTTCACTTTTATTATGCGTATAGAATAAACTTTCATAGAGTAGTGTTTAGCTGATGTTACAATAAATGGGTTAATCTTCTAAGGTGCCAAAATACTTGCCTTCTTCACTAGATTATAGTATAAAGAGGAATCATACACTAGGAATCATACTTTTCTCATAATCCATTCACTCTTTAATTTTTTGAGTACTTTATAGTACTTTATAGATAGCATCCCTACTAGCATGTAAATATTGTTTCTTTGATCTTAATCCTGACAAATACCTACATTTGAGTTTTTATTGAAAAGTATGTTTTGAGATAATGAATGGAGCTTTCTTCCTTTTAAACAAATCATGGTTGGGAAATTTTGAAGCATTCTACTCAAATCATGCAATTCATCTCTTATGGAGATCTAAAACACAGACATGTGCCTTTCATCTCAAGAACAGAGAAGCATCCCGAGCTCTGAAGATCACCTGGGAAGGAATCCCACTGGAGCATTGCAGCGCACCCAAATACCTGGGAGTCACTCTGGACCGTGCTCTTACCTACAAGAAGCACTGCCTGAACATCAAGCAAAAAGTGGGTGCGAGAAACAATATCATACGAAAGCTGACTGGCACAACCTGGGGATCACAACCAGATACAGTGAAGACATCTGCCCTTGCGCTGTGCTACTCTGCTGCTGAGTATGCATGCCCAGTGTGGAACACATCTCACCACACTAAAACAGTGGATGTGGCTCTTAATGAGACATGCCGCATTATCACGGGGTGTCTGCGCCCTACACCACTGGAGAAATTACACTGCTTAGCTGGTATTGCACCACCTGACATCCGCCGGGAAGTGGCAGCCAATAGTGAAAGGACCAAGGCAGAGACATCTCCAGCTCATCCCCTGTTTGGGTATCAGCCAGCACGTCAACGACTTAAATAGACATAGTTTTCTAAGATCTACAGAGACACTCGCTGGAACACCTCAGCAAGCGAGAGCCCAAAAGTGGCAGGCTCAAACCCAGCACCTCAACCAATGGCTGATACCAAATGAGAGACTCCCCCCTGGGCACACAGAAGACTGGGCGACTTGGAAGGCGCTGAACAGACTGCGCTCTGGCACCACGAGATGCAGAGCCAACCTTCAGAAATGGGGCTACAAGGTGGAATCCTCGACATGCGAGTGTGGAGAAGAGCAAACCACTGACCACCTGCTGCAATGCAACCTGAGCCCTGCCACATGCACAATGGAGGACCTTCTTGCAGCAACACCAGAAGCACTCCAAGTGGCCAGATACTGGTCAAAGGACATTTAACCAACTACCAAACTCACAAGTTTTGTATTTTTCTGTTTGTTTGCTTTGTTCTGTTAGAAATGTAATATAATGGACTGGTTGCTCTGACACGACAAATAAATAAATAAAATAAATCTCTTATGGATAACGTCAGTACTGAAACATGGACATAATTACATCTTGTTATAGGCCGAATAAATTAAATCCTGAGTTGCCATTAGCTATTTCTATTTTGGCTGTGAGCACTGAATTTTTATCCCATGCCCCGTTCCTTAGCTACAATTTGCACTATCCCATTCCTGTGTCTTGTTTACCGTTCGGCCATGTCTTATAGTAGTTGTCATCATAGGTCATTGGGTGTTGTTCTGAGTTTAAAACTGTTGTTTTCATATGCTATAGTTTTTACTTTATTGTACTGTGTGTTTATTTTATGCTTTGTCTTGGCACGTTGTGTCATATGTAAGCTGCCCCGAGTCCCTTTGTGGAGATGGAGGCGGGGTACAAAAATAAATAAAGTTATTGTTGTTGTGTAACCTTCCAATCAATGAGCTTATAGAAGATCCTGATGTGAAGGTTTTTCCATCCAATGGTAACCATCTCTTTTCCTCCTTAGGTTTACTTCAAACAGCTCTGCCGTAAATGTCAGAAAAGCTTCAATCCTTATAAAGTGGAAGCAATTCAGTGCCATGTAAGTATCACATCTATTTGAAACATACATTTCTTATCCATTGTTATAAAACAATAGTATTTGCTCTGTTTTGTTTGTGTGGAAATAAGATGGGCATGAGACTCTGTTAAGGTGCCCTGAGTAAGAGGGCCCATTGGATATAAAGCAGATTTAGAACAGTGGTTGAGTTTTCTTCCTCAGACATATGTCCCCTGGTTTGCCCAAGAGCTTTTGGTATTTATCACCCATCTATAAAACAGGATTAACTTCGATCTAACTAATCCTATCTTCAAGACCACATCTCCTTCTATGAACTGGCATGGGCTCGGAGATCTGCCGGGGAGGCCCTTCTCTCGGTCCCACCACGGTCCCTATAGAGGGCAGGCCAAGTCCTTGCCCTGCCCTCTCTAATCTGATTTTGCCCACAATACTCTGGTTACTGGTGGTTGAGGTTGGTTTTGATACATTCTATGATTTTTTAAACTTTTCTGGTTTTAATTGTTGAATTTAGATGATGTATTATTATGTTTTTAAATTGAGTTTTTGCTTGTAAATTTCGTTTATGCTGCGCTTGGTCCCCATGTAAGCTGCCCCGAGTCCCTTTGGGGAGATGGTGGTGGGATATAAAAATAGAATAATTATATTATTATGGTTGGTGGGGATGAGAGAGGGCCTTCTCGATGGTGGCTCCCCAACTCTGGAATGCCCTCCCTAGATTGATGAGGTTAGTCCCAACTCTCCAAATCTTTTGGTCTAGCTCAGTGGTTCTCAACCTGGGGTCCCCAGATGTTTTTGGACTACAACTCCCAGAAATCCCAGCCAGTTTACTAGCTGTTAGGATTTCTGGGAGTAGAAGGCCAAAAACATCCAGGGACCCCAGGTTGAGAACCACTGGTCTAGCCTAAAAACATGGGCCTTTGCCCTTGAGTAGTCTTCAATGGCTGCATGTGAGGACTGATTGTTTACTCCGGGACTTTAGCTTTTTAATTGAAGACCGCCAGTTTTATCCGCAGGCACTAGTGCGTTTCATACCTTTTAAATTTTTATTATGTGGGGTTATGTGTGTTCTTCGTGTTTGTGGTCGTAATTTCATGTTACTGTTTTATGTATTGTTGATTTTATATGCAGCACTCTGGAGTGCTTTTGTGAGCCGCCCTGAGTCCCTTCAGGGAGATGGGCCTTTGCCTCCACCACACTCCGGGGCAGAGAGTTCCACTGCTGAACGGCTCTCACAGTCAGGAAGTTCTTCCTTATGTTCAGATGGAATCTCCTTTCTCGTAGTTTGAAGCCATTGTTTCGCGTCCTAGTCTCCAAGGAAGCAGAAAACAAACTTGCTCCTCCTCCCTGTGGCTTCCTTTCACATGTTTATACATGGCTATCATATCTCCTCTCAGCCTTCTCTTCTTCAGGCTAAACATGCCCAGCTCCTTAAGCCGCTCCTCATAGGGCTTGTTCTCCAGACCCTTGATCATTTTAGCAGCCTTCCTCTGGACACATTCCAGCTTGTCAATATCTCTCTTGAATTGTGGTGCCCAGAATTGGACATAATATTCCAGGTGTGGTCTAACCAAAGCAGAATAGAGGGGTAGCATTACTTCCCTAGATAAAGTTTATTATTAATTATTACTTGCCAAAAGAGTAACCAGTTTTTAAGGACGAAATGTTTATCTGTCCACTAACTTCAGTTTGTTATTTAAAGATCTGTTCAAAGACCCGTTGCTCCTGTCCGCAGAAGAAAAGGCACATTGACCTCAAGAGGCCGCATCGCCAAGAGCTGTGTGGCCGCTGTAAAGGCAAGAGACTGTCTTGCGACAACACCTACAGCTTCAAATACATTATATAACCTGCTCTGATTTCTAATGTGGGCTCTTCTTGCACTTCGCACTATGCACTTTGTTACTGCTTTTGTAACATGGGTTTGACTTTAGGCTTTTGACCTGGCATTGGATAATGGATTAGAGATTTTTGTAAAACTAGGAAATATTCATAAATTAGCATATATTCCTTATAACTTATAATAAAATTAAAATTCTCCTGAGGTTGTTGTCGTATTCCCTTTGGTGTCGACGGAAAGTTCTACAGCAGATTAGGGTGCTAATATTCTAAGTAATGATTGCAATTCGAGTCTGACCAATCAAAACAAGTACTATATGGTTTACTCTAAAGGAAGTCAATGGCAGACAATACGAGTATTCTATACTTTAAAAAAACAGTTTCAAATTAATGGGGTCACCGTAAGTCAAAAGGTGACTTGAAGGTAGAAATACAGTCAAAGCATGATTTACCTTTGCATACTATGTCTTCCTAACGAGACCATCGGTTCTGGTTTGCTTTCATTGTGGGGCAACAGCATTTAATAGAGCAGATTTCTATAGCAGTGGTAGCAATAAACACAATGGACCACAATAGAACTACCATGTGACCAGCTGGCTAGTTTCTTTCTGAAACCAAACAGGAATATATACTTGATTATGGTGAGTTGCCTGATTTTAAAGCCATGCATTGGTCTGTTTTGCAAATGTTATGTGGAAGCGGAGCTTTTGTCTTTGGTAACATATGGAGTTTGTGTCACTGATGTTATAAGAGGAGGGAGTTCAGATAATCCCACCTATCTTACAAGAGATAGGTAAGGTAAAGATTGTCCCCTGACATTAAGTCCAGTCATGTCTGACTCTGGGGTGTGGTGCTCATCTCCATTTCTAAGCTGAAGAGCCGACGTTGTCCATAGACACCTCCAAGGTCATGTGGCCGGCATGACTGCATGGAGTGCTGTTACCTTCCCGCCGGAGCGGTACCTATTGATCTATTCACATTTGAATGTTTTCGAACTGCTAGGTTGGCAGAAGCTAGGGCTGACAGCGGAAGCTCACGCCGCTCACCGGAATTGAACCTGCGACTTTTCGGTCAACAAGCTCAGCAGCTCAGCGCTTTAACCCACTGCGCCACCGGGGGCTCCATCTTACAAGAGATACATAAGGAATAAAACAACATGTGTATTGCCCGGGGGAAGTGTTATCAAACCAACTATGCAGTAGTAAACACCTGGAGCAATGATGAGCCAGTGAACATGCTGATTCAAAATCAACATATAAAGGCATCCATTCCATAGGAGCCCTTGGTGGTGCAATGGGTTAAACCCTTGTGCCGGCATGACTGCTGACAGACAGGTCGATGTTTCTAATCCGGGGAGAAGGGTTGAGCTCCCTCTGTCAGCTTCAGCTCCCCATACAGGGACATGATAGAAACAACCCACAAGAGTGGTAAAAAACTTCAAACATCCAGGCATTTCCTGAGCAACATTCTTGCAGACGGCCAATTCTCTCACACTAGAAGTGACTTGCAGTTTCTCAAGTCTCTCCTGACACGAAAAAAAAAATCCATTCCATGCCCAAATTAGCTCCAAAATATCTTAAGGAAAATTCATTCCAGACCAATTAGAACATACACAGACAAGTTTGAATATAGGTATATATATATATATTTTAAGGACCTTTATATTTTAGTTAGATGAACCTGTTCTGACCAAAATATCAACCAAAAGGTACTTCACAAAAACCTTTTTTTAAGTGTATTTACAGAGTGAATAAATGACACACACTATGCTGGAATAAAAGTGTCTCAAATGTGCAAAAGTTTTACATGCACTCGTTTAACACTTGACATCAGAAAGTGCAACGAAAGGAAAAAAACTTACATATGATACAAAGAAAACTCTTTAAGAAAGTGAATTTCAATTTACTGAATATTTTCCACTGTTAAAACCCAAATTATGCTTAAATTAAAAAAAATACATGCGAGGCAGTTCAAAAGAATGTAAATCAGCCATGTGATGTTTTCCTACAAAATGGCAAGTTATGCCAGACCAGCCATCTTTAAGTAATATAAATATATTCATAAAAGCAACCCTCTAGTAAAAAGCAGACAAAATCTTTTTTTAAAAAAATCTTCCTTGTCCATTCATAGGTACTTTGGTCTTAATAACAGACCTTTTGCAACGGGATCTAGTACCTTCCAAGACAGTAGCCTAGCAACATCAGGAAATGTACTTCATAGCAGCTTGTTTTTTTTCTCCAAAAGATACAGTAATCATATTTAAATTACAGTGTATATTTAAACTGTAGTCCTTTACAACCTCTTTCATATGCACAGGCCCTCAGCTTTCGAACTGACAGTCTTTCAGTGTCCTGTCACTAGCTTCATTCTGCCTATTTTGTTTTACTTGGTCAAAGGAAAAAAAAATACAAGATTAAAAAAACCCAAAAAATCCTCAAGTGAAGGAAAGATTGCACTTTTGCCAGCTAAAATAAATTTCCTAAAAAGGAAGTCTTGTTCAGTGTAGTAGTCTTTGGTATGTATGGAAGTTGCTTCTTCAGTAGTGAATTGCAGTTGTCCAGTGAAATGCATCTTGTGTGTGTGCAACTGAAAACAAAGGAATCCTACACTGCCTTTGTCCTTACAGTATTGCTACACATTGAAAATTCTGCCCAACTCCTTTTGGGAAATGCTGTAAAGGTAACAAGACTGACTACAACTTGACCAAGTTTTTCTAGCGCTGAGAAGGCATTGATCCACCTCACCCCAGCATGGAAGCAATTCCAATTTGAATGAGAAAGGTTGCACAAGCCTTTTGTCAGAGACTTGTGCCAGAAACGCTGGAGTCTGGAAGAAAAGTATTGATGACGCGGTAGCTCTGAGCCCTGCGGATCATGTCCCGGATCTCTATGTTCAGCTCCATCAGCTTCGTACAGATTTCTGTCAGGCTTTGGTTCGAGCCAACCAATGCGTAAGTGCCGGACTGCCCGAGTGTTTGATGCCGGAAGTAAATATTCAGTAGAGTCTGGACCTCATCGTCGGAACTGCTTCCAAAAATGTCATTGGGCCATAAACTCCTGCAGTGAAACAAGAATGAAAGCAAGTCGTTGTTGAATTAATGGCCTATGCAAGGTGTATAAATATATACCAAAAAAAATCAACCCACTGGGGGCTCCTCCTAATCCGATTAATGCATATGGTAGAAAAGCATATGCATTAATCAGATTAGAAGGAGTCCCCAGTGCCACAATGGGTTAAACCATTGTGCCAGCAGGACTGAAGACCAACAGGTCTCAGTTTTGAATCTGGGGAGAGCATGGATGAGCTTCCTCTGTCAGCTCCAGCTCCCTATGTGGGGACATGAGAGAAGCCTCCCACAAGGATGGTAAAACATCAAAACATCTGGGTGTCCCCTGGGCAACGTCCTTGCAGACAGCCAATTCTCTCACACCAGGAGCGACTTGCAGTTTCTCAAGTTGCTCCTGACACACACACACAAGATCAGATTAGAGAGATGGGCCAAAACTAACAAAATGAAGTTCAACAGGGACAAATGCATGATACTCCACTTAGGCAGAAAAAAATGAAATGCAAAGATATAGAATAGCCGACGCCTGGCTCGACAGCAATACATGTGAAAAAGATCTTAGCATCCTTGTGGACCAGATGTTCAACATGAGCCGAAAATGTGATGCAGTAGATAACAAAGCCAATGGAATTTTGGCCTCCATAAATAGGAGCCTAGTGTCTAGATCCAGGGAAGTCATGCTACCCTTCTCTTCCACCTTGGTCAGACCACACCTGGAATACTGTGTCCAGTTCTGGGCACCACAATTGGAGGAGATGTTGACAAGCTGGAATGTGTCCAGAGGAGGGCGACTAAAATGATCAAGGGTCTGGAGAACAAGCCCCATGAGGAGCTGCTTAAAGAGCTGGGCATGTTTAGCCTTCAGAAGAGAAGGCTGAGAGGAGACATGAGGCCATGTATAAATATGTGAGGGGAAGTCATAGGGAGGAGGGAGCAAGCTTGTTTTCGGCTGCCCTGGAGACTGGGACGTGGAACAATGGCTTCAAACTACAAGAAAGATTCCATCTGAACATTAGGAAGAACTTCCTGACTGTGAGAGCTGTTTGGCAATGGAACTCTCTGCCCTGGAGTGTGGTGGAGGCTCCTTCTTTGGAAGCTTTTAAACAGAGGCTGGATGGCCATCTGTCAGGGATGCTCTGAATGCGATTTTCCTGCTTCTTGGGAGGGGGTTGGACTGGATAGCTCACGAGGTCTCTTCCAACTCTATGATTCTATAATGCCTAACCCTAAAAAACCATTTGAGAGTTCTATAAGTGCTCTGGCCAGTGATGGATGAGAGTGGGATGGGGAAGCAAATGATGCTAAGATGTTTATACAATGTAATGGGAATGTTCAGCTTCTCTTCAACACGGGATTCCTTTGAGTTGGTTTATTGAAGGAGAGAGGGAAGAGCTTGAAAGGCTCCCTCTATGCTTAAAAGAACTCAAAAGCCAGGATATTTATTAATGTGAAGTGCCAACATAACTATAATAAATGAAAGGATGAGGGAAAGATAAAGATTTAATCCTTTATTTACTAGAACAATGGAGGAGAGGGGAAGTAAGGGAAACTATTTGGAGTTCCTGTCAAAGCTTGATAGTTGATGCTTTGTGGAAAGCTTGGAAACATATATAGATAACTAAGAACTAGCATTCAGACTTACTTAAAATTAACAAGTGATGTATTTTTTCAATTCAATAGGTGTTTATATTCCTTTATCTTTGTTGTATTGAATCCCTGGTGGCACAATGGGTTAAACCCTTGTGCAAGGTGAACTGCTGAATAAAAGGTGGTTTGAATCAGGGGAGCGGGGAGAGCTCCCATCTGTTAGCTCCAGCTTCCCATGCAGGAACATGAGAAAAGCCTCCCACAGGATGGGTAAAACATCCGGATGACCCTGGGCAACGTCCTTGTAGACGGCCAATTCTTTCACACCAGAACAGGCCCATAACCAGGGGAGGAGGCTTGAGGGGCTTCAGCTCCCCCCCCCCCCCCCCCCCGAAATTCTCAGGGTGTCCGCAAGAAGGCCTTACTGGTACATTATTTAAACTGTTATGTTTATTCATATCATGATCTGATCACCATGCTCAAGATATCCCATATGCATAGGGGTATTGGGATAATGATACAAAAGGTTTGCTAGGGTAGATCCTGACCCT